GCAACAGGGTGTCCCTCTTGAGATAAGACTCCGCCTATACCGATACCAGAGGCATCACAATTTTCTTCAAAAACTTTGGAAAAATCAGGTAGGCGCATAACTGGGGCATCTACCATTCTTTTCTTTATTTCCTCAAAAACTTTAGAGGTAAGAACACTCTAATGAAATTCTCCCTTTTTCAAACAATCAGTTATGGGGGCTACGATGGTGCTAAAATTCTGAATAAACCTCCAATAGAAAGTGGTCAATCCATGGAAATTCCTAACATCTCTGAGATTTCTAGGTTCAGGCCATTCATTAATTGCTCGCATAGAAAGTAGGTTGTTTGTCAGGTTCAGCAGATATGCCTTGGGAGGATATGATAAATCCAAGAAAAGTCACATTATTAGTGAGGAACATACACTTCTTAAGATTAACATACAATTGTTCTATCCTCAAAACTTCACAAACTTGCTTCAGGTGATCTAGGAATTGATCCACCAAATTACTATAAATCAAGATATCATCAAAGTAAACTACTATAAACTTTCCTAGAAAGGGTCTAAGGACTTGGGTCATAACTCTCATAAAAGTACTTGGTGTGTTACTCAGACCAAAAGGCATAACCGTCCATTCGTATAACACATCCTTAGTTTTAAAAGCAATTTTTCATTCGTCTCCAAGACGGAATCTAATTTGGTGATAGTCACTCTTGAGGTCAATCTTAGAAAATAGGGTGGCTCCGGTCATCATATCTAACATGTTATCTAGACGATGAATAGGGAAACGATATTTGACTATGATTTTGTTGATAGCGCGGCTATCAACACACATTCTCCATGACCCATCCTTCTTGGGGGTTAAGAGTGCGAGGATAGGACTAAGGCTTTCCCTTAATAAAACCACGTTGCATTAACTCATCTAACTGTCTCTTAAGTTCAGCATGCTCCGTAGGATTTATGCGATAGTGTGGAAGGTTGGGTAGGGATGCTCAAGGTACTAAATCGATGATATGTTGGATATCCAATAGAGGTGGGAGTTGGTTGGGCAAATCTTCTAGAAAAACGCCATCAAAGGTTTAAAGGAGGGGTTTAACCTCTTATGTGATAGGTTCTTCCATATTCACACTCACTTCCCGAGCTATTAAGGCGTATAAGGGCGAACCTAACCCTAGTTTAGTGTCCGGGTTTTTAGCGGTTAATAGATTTAGTCATGTGCTGGGTTTAAGGGGAGTGGATTTTACATCCTCCTTGGTAGAATTAGGTTGGGAGGATAAGAGCTTAATCTTCTTACCATCGTACTCGAACACGCAAGTGTTAGATCTCCCATAGATATGAACATCATTATCGAAAAGCCAGGGGAGACCAATGATGATCTGACCAACATCCATGTTTAAAACATCGCACAATATCTTTCCATGTATCTCACAAACTCAATTGGGATACGAATCCTTTCTTTCACTTCCAAGACGGTCAAGTTGATCCAAGCGACCTTGTATGGGTTTGGGTGCGGAGTTGTTTTCAGGAGTAGCTTAAAAATTATAATAGACGAAACAACGTTCATGCAGCTTCCACTATTGATGATAACCTTACAGTTCTTGTCACCAATTTTGGTGAAAGTTTGAAAGATGGAAGTTCTACGCCAATCGTCACTCAGTTTAGGTTGTGACAAAGCACACCTAACAACTTGAATGTTCAAGTGATATATCTTTTGAAGGCAGTGGATCACGACAGTGTCTTCCTCATAGAAAAAGTCCTCTTCGTCATCAATGTGATGAACTAGTTCGGTGTCAGGTTCATCCTCCTCATCGATAACTTCCTCGATTATGATTACTTATATGGGCTGGAACATTGAGAGGCAATGTGTCCATACCCATGACATTTAAAGCATTTGGTTCCCGCAGGATTTTAGGTGTCTCATGTTCAGGGGTTTTATTCTTATAGTCAGGACGGGGTTAGAATTGTTCAACAATGGATCGACCAATCATGGGGCCAGGTGGTTTTGTTTGAGGTTGGCTAGAGGAGGATTTAAAATAATTTGGATGGGAGTCTTGGCTCCTAGAGTAGGCATGGTTCCTAGATTCTTCTAGATCTAGCACAAGACTACAAGCAGCCTCTAAGGTAGTAATTCCTCTAGCAAAGGGTTCATTTTGAAGGTCTTCCCTCAGTCCAGCTCTAAACATGGAAAGAAGTTGGACATGGGTAGTGGTCTCCTCGCCACTACGGCGGATCATAAAATCATCAAAAACAGATATATAATCCTTCACAGGTTTACTACCCAAGGTCAACCTATTCCAACGATCAAAAAGTCTAGGGTAGTAGGATGGGGGAAGATACTTTTGTTTGAGCTCATGTTTCATTGTTCTCCAATCAGTGATAGGGTATTCTCCTCGAGTTTCTCGCATATGTTGAAGGTTAGCCCAGTACTGACTAGCCCTACCAGTCAACTTCATTTCAGCAAATCTAACTTTTCTCGCATCTGAAATGTTATACTACTTAAAATAGCTATCCATACCCTTAAGCCAATCTAGGAAAACTTTGAGGGCTAAGGTTCCATCAAAGGAAGGGGCATCTATACGGATGTTCTTAAGTAATTGAGCAACGTTATCTCTCAGCTTTGGGTCATGTCCTACAGGTTCACGATTGGGCCTTGGTTGTTATAACGATAGGGATCTTGGGGTGGTCCTTCATCAACTCGAGCCTCTTCGACATATCGTGGGATTTCCTAAACGTTCGATGTTGTCAACTCGTTCTCTAGCTTGTCACCTAAAGTCAGCTAATTCACTCTGGGTATCTCATAGTTGTTGGATAACAGTACCTAACTGACCTACAATAAAGTCTAAAGTGCACTGAATTTGTTCCGGGTCCATTGGGGTAAGCTAGGTGACAACTAGGGATGCTAAGGAATAAAGGGCAGCACTATACCTATATGCCAAAACACATAAGGCTTACTAAATGATGCTGAGATGTAGAGGACAACAAACAACAATAATGTAAATGTTGCGTGGAGGTGAATTCAGCCTAAAACGTCTAGTGAATGTGTATGAAGGGGATCCTAAAATGAACTAGCATGCAACCATGCTCTGATACCAAGATTATGTAAAACAAACTAGGAATTCCTTAGAAATTAATATAATTTGATATAAGCGTAGTAACAATAAACTAATGTTTCACCAGATGGGATTTAAGAATTTAAGGATATTAAAATTGTCATGGTAATATATTACACAATAGAAGAACAAGAACATAAAATAACTTCAAACGTAAACCTAAACTTAAATGCTATAAACTTTTAAATCCACCACATAACATCTAGAAAAGTCAACTCGAGTTTCCCTCAGCTCTTTGAAGGGATTTAGCGAAAAGAAGATGCCAACAATCTTAGCGATGCCACCAAAAGTGATAGGACACAAGGGGCCTTGATCCACGGGAAGGTAGACGGAGGAGGAGACACGGCTGGATGTCCGAAAATTTGCCACTGTTTGGAGGGTAGTTGTTCGTCGATAGTTTCAGCTAAGTGGAATAGGATACGGTCGACGTAATTGTTGACAGTGTCTTCTATCTCCTAGTCAGGGTTGAAGAATGGTGATTGAAAAATATCTATTTGCCCATGAGAATCATATGCGAAGCCGTGGTCTACTTCAGGATCGATCATCCACTTGCAAGAGGAGTGGGAGAGGATGTGTGTCTTCTCTTTCTCTTGGATTCATGAGGGGATAAAATCCAAGAGGAAAGAAGAGAAAGGGAGGAGGCGGCCTAGGAGGGGAAAAGACTTGTTTTATGAAATTATGGTTAGGGTTTCCAATAGGGTAATGTACAAAAATCTGAAATTAATTTCAGATTTAGTAAAATAGGAAAGGAGATTTGAAATTTGAAATTTGAAGTTCAATTAAAGTGGAGGGAAATTGAGGTGGAGGAGGAGAGAGGGTAGGAGGGGGCTAGCAACATGCATGGGGAAAAGTAGAGGATTGGGAGGGAATTTAATGCTTCCTAATTCAGGGTTTAATTTAGGAAAAGGATAATTAAATCCAATCTAATTTAAAATTAAATTAGATTCAAATTTAGGAACTTTCCTAATTTAGATTTTGTTAATTTAAGAAGGTATTTGAATTTCAAAAATTGAAATGATTCTTTTTCAAATCATTTAGGATAATTTAGGTAACTAATAATGATGATTGAAATCACCATTAAGGGGAAAAGGAGGTGGGGTGGCCGGCGATTGAGGGGGCTGGGTCGGCGGCTATGGATGGGGATGGAGTGAGGGGCTGATGGATAGGATGGTGGTTGGAGGGGTCCGGCGGTTGGAGCAAGGGGAGGAGGTGGTTGACGGCTTAAAGCAAGGAAAAAAGAGGGGATCCAGCAGCTTAAAGCAAGGAAAAAAGAGGGGATCCAGCGGCTTAATGCAAGGAGAAGAACTTAAACAACGAGTCGGGGACACTTCCGCCGACTGGTGGGTGTTGCATTGCCCACACCTTGAGACTTCACCATTCAAGAACTCACAAGTTCAAGAAGAAATCAGAATTTTTTTATAATCAAGCATTAACCCTAATACAAGACTAAGGATCTCATATATAAGCCTCAAAAGAGAAAAGAAAAGAAAAGAAAAGATTGAGATGCCCTCAAGGCTACAACTCAAGCTAACTACCCACGGGTAAAATAGGAAAAACTGAAATATAAAATAAACAATACATAAAATACAACAAAAGTAAAGGCTCCTCATCGTGGCCACCGATCTTCGGTGTCTCCTCTGATAAACGCGCCAAAATCTCCTGCTGATGTCGTCATCACAACGTTTCCCAAATGTTTTCAATTTTAAAATTGATATTATATATTTTTTCCCTAAACACTAGATATGCATAAGGTTTAAGTTGATTTCAACGAGAAAAAAAAAACCTGAGAATCTAGTTGTTTCTCCGAAAATTAGCTTCATGAGTTCAAGGAACCAAACTATGAAATTTTGATGGATAAAAGCGTGGTTCATAAAAATTATGATTGATTCCAATTAGCAGGTAAAGGTTGTACCTCTTACGCATTGTAGATATATTATCGCTGCTCTCTGAGAAATTAGTATTTTTCTCTTTCCTCTTGCGATGTCCTGCTTATTAGATTAACAAGATAAGAATATTGGATCAATCTGGTAATGAAGCCTTGAAAAATGCAATGAAATCAACTAAGCGGAGGCCCAGCACAGCGGGGTGAAAGTATGATGTATCAGTCATTAAGAATGGCAATATGAAGTTGAGATCATTTATTAATCTCCAAAAAAATTACAGAGAATCCTAACAAATGAACATAAAAAATATAACAAAATTTCTCAAATTGCTGAAGAAAAACTAATGTAGTGGTCTTTGGCATTAGTATCCTGTGGCGGAGTGAAATTATTCAATAAAAAAACTGAAGAGCAATTTGCACTGCCTGTGGTTCTAGATGATTTGTGGCTTCGTATTTTTCTTGATATGCCTATGGTGTTGTTCGACATTGTCCTTTCAAACTAATCAGTTGCGATCTTTTTTGTGTTTGCTCTATAAAAAGGGCCTCCAAGACAGCGCGTTAACGGCACATTAGTACTACGAGAAATTGCCATTAAAATGCAAAAACTCTTGACATTCATTAGTTTTGAATGATGGGAGAAGCAAAAGAGAATTTGCCGCCTATGGGACTCTGAAGTTTTTACTTGTTGATAACGATCTGACTTCTTTCGGCATCCCTTTTCTATCCTCTCCATGATACGCTTCTTTGGTGCTCTCTTGTTGGTTTCTTGTACAATTTCTAGGGACCGAGCTCAACCGAAGCGAAAACCTTACCGAGTTTTGAATGACGTTCAGTAATTTCTCCTCCAACCAGAATGAAAGATCCCATTGAAGCGGCTTAACAACGGATACCCAATATTCAGTGGATCCCTTGCCCGAATTTTTCCGATGTTAGAGAAGGAACAAAGGCCTACTAGCGCTCTACAAAATTTTAAAATTCCAATTGGCAGTTGCTACTATTCCTTTTAAACATGTACATGAAGACCAATGCATGTCTTTCTTGATATGAAGAAATAAAAGACCCCGATAACGGTATCTTAAAGCACCGAGCATGCACACTTAGTTTGGTGTGGTGGGCAGGCTTAACAACCCCCCCCCCCAAAAAAAAAAAAAAAAAAAAAAAAAAACAAAAAAAAAAAAAAACCAATAACGCCTAAAGCACTAAAAGGCTGCTGAAATTCAAACAAAACAGACTCATAAGGGACTGAACTTTAAAAGATAATTTTTTTAAATAAAATGCAATTAAATAAAAATTTGGAAAATTTATTAGTAACTTATAGTGAACTCTGAAAACCTCACTCACGAGCGCAAACCCCCCTATCACTACTAAGAATAGTTGCAAACCTCAAGAACTCATTCAACATACTAAACTTGGAATGAAAATTAATTGAATGCCTTGTCAAATTATAGAAATAAAAAGATGCCGCATGAGTCCCACTCGCTTTAATTTAACTCATATTAAGGAAAAATTGCATCATATTTGAAAGTTAATGGAATCTGAAAATGGAATCCAACTCATATTCACCGGCATCGAATCGACAACATAAACATTCAGGCGAACATGATGCAAAAAGGGGATCATTTTTAAGTTAAAAAATAAATTTTTTGAGTTTAATGATAAACGTTTGTGAAAAATAAATTATGAATATTTTAAAATCTTGCACGCATTTAAATACAATTTTCAAACTTAAGCTACAGCACCGTGAAGCAAGCTACCGCCCCGAAAAGTGAGTCATCGTCTCATAAAATGTGCCACCTCTCGAGAAGTGCACAATAGTCTCATCAAGAGCCCTACCACCTCAAGAAAAGTTCCATAACTTGAAAAAGCATGCACTAGTCTAAAGAAGCATGCAACAACCCTATGAAGCATGCTAGCACCTAGAGAAGTGAGTCGTTGACTTGAAAAACATGCCAAAACACTAAAAGCCCATAATAGTCTAAAAAAATTGTGAAAATGGATTGAAAAGTCTGCAAGTATTTTAAAATAAGAAAATTTAATGTATATTGAAGAGTGTGTGGATATGCTATGCAAATGTATTGACATGCATGCAAGTGCATCGTGTGAGCGCATCCAAAAGCCCCTAAGTTGAAAGTGTGTGGGTACACCATGCAAATACACTAAAAGACATGCAAGTGCACCAAAAAGTATGCCAAGACATTGAAAGTATCAATCACATAGTGCAACTGTATTGAAAAGCATATAAGTGCATCGTACACATTGAAAGACATGCACATTAGTTAAAAAGAAATTTAAAATTCTGCATGTGTGAAACGCTTAAACACAAAAGTCTAATAATGCTACACGGGATTAAAAGCGAGCTAATCAAAATTATCATTTTAAATTAGATCACCCACATGTACCCCGACCATCGCATAGAAATCCTAACTCCAAAGTTCGAGAATGCTACACGGGGTTAAAAGTGAGCTAATTAAAATTATCTTTTCACATTAAATTTCTCGCATGTGCTCCGACAAACATAATTAACATTTGAATGCAAAAGTTTGAGAATGTTGCATAGGGGGCTAATTAAAATTATCTTTCAAATTAAATCACCCAAATGTCCTCAACCATTATATCGAATTCCTAAATCCAATGTTCAAGAATATTGCACAGGTTAAATATGAATTAAAATTTCAAGTTCAATCCTCTTTCTTAAAAAGCATAACTTAAATTAATATGTGAATATACGATCATGAAATCCACGAAGAGATTTTATTTTACATTCATATTAGACCTTCACAGCTCTCTTCGAGAAAAATTCATAAGTAAAATACAAACTTGCAAATTCAACCTTAATGTAATAATTTACAAAGCTGATATCGAACTCAATCCTTGTTGGCAAGCATACAAAGTTGGCAAGATTCAAACAGTAAATAAGATTATTCAAATTCCCAATGATGTCCATATTGAAAGTGAATCTCAATTGAAGGCGACTTGCTTTTTAAATGCCTCCAAACCCTAATCATATATATATATATATATAAAGTGACTTCAAAGTCACTTTGATGATGGCCGCATTAACAAAAAATCCCAACCAAGGGGACCACCAATTCATAAAAATATAAAGATAAATACCCTCAAATTTCAAAGTTAACCGATAAGGCTCGAATTCCAATAAAAATTCAAAATTTAATATTTAACAATACTTAAAATATTCAAGTGAAATTTATCTCATATAAAAAGTAAAATTCAACCAGCTCACAAAAATCAAATGATAGTAAAAAATATCACCAAGATTAATTCTCAAATAATCTCCCACTAGTAAGAATATGACAAGTGTCTTCTAATCAGTGTTTTGGGCCGCAAATGCTCTACAAGAAAACAATTACGATCGGTTGACTTGAATTTATTCCTTAGATAAATATACACCTTAGGTCTACAAAGTACACTTGGACTGAGCAACCTATTGTTGCTGACAAAGATCATTCAATTAAAATGGGTAGACTATATCCTCTGCCTAAGGGCATCTCCAACCGAAAATCTTATTTTCACTCCAAAATGTCATAATTCATCTCCAACCGAACTCCATTTTGCCAAGGTAACCGTTGTTTTCTTTTTTGGCGCGTTTCTTCGGAAGTTCGGTAGAAACTGAAAAATAGCGGAGATGAACAGTGTAACGCCAATACTGGCGTCCCACTGTTCACCCGCAACCAAATAGAGGAAGTTTTACCGTTCAACTAGAGCTCGCGAGCTACACCATTCAAGCGTTTGGAGTTCGGTTGGAGATGCTCTAAATAGATTAGGAACTATGACAACCTGGGATGATGGAACCATAAAATTTTGATTGGATTTATTATCATTCACTCACCATCCGATTTAAATGTGCAACGATAAATTTTCAAATCCTGCACATCTAAATAAACTACTGCTATATAATGGGTACTAAGTACCTAGCTAATGAATAGCATTAATCGAATTTATTCTTTAGTCATCTGGAGGGGTAATTAATCATAAGAGCTTGCGCTTATGGAAAACCGGAACTCGGGTCTTAAAGTTCACGCAAATAACAGTAAAATCTCTAGGAAGTATACTATCTCTAAGCGAATCTGCCTTCCAAAAATTTGACCCAGAACAAACTCTATTAAAACTCTCATAAGGCACAGACAGACCGAGACATGAATTTTTTGGATCTCACTAGAGAATGTGAGCCAAATTAAGAAAATCAAAGGCCTTGTAAAAATTCACCTTATAAATAATTATTTATTTTCTTTTCTTAATGGAACTATGAAGAAGCTCATTAGCAGCAATAACCCAATCAATAATTTTGATTTTGATGAAAACATCATGAGAGATATTTACTAATGATTGAATATTAGGAATAAGCTTATTAGCCAAAACCTTTGTGAAAATCTTTTATACATGAGAAGACTAATAGGCCTAAAATCCTTAGTGTCATAAATCTTAGGAACTCCAAAAAATTCAGCAGAAGAAATTATACCGATAGACTCTTTACTCCCCAAAGCCGTCGAAGAAAATTTTAGAGAAATCTTCTTCTAAAGAAGCCCAAAACTCTTCAAATTTTTCATAAAAAATCATCTGGACTTGTGGATTTTTTACTCTCTAAAGAGAAAATCACAATTTTAATTTAAAAGTAAAAGGCTGTACTCCACAATTCATATGCTGCTATTACTAACCCTACTCAGAAATCTTATTAGTTAATTATGAATGAGTGAACTATTAAAAAAGTAGAAGTGTATTTTCTTGCATTTAATAGCATAAAAACATGAAACTTTCAAGAAAGCAAAGTATTTAACCTCTTTGATTATTTCTGGTAAATGGTCTCTCCTTTTGCCAAGTATTTCTTGAATTGTATGACTGAGATTTTTGGAGTCTGTAAATTTAAATTGAATATTAGACATATTCTGAACGCATTAAAATATTTTAGTAAAAAGACATGCCTCATATGTGATGACTTCCTCTTCCATTGGTCATTAAATTTTGGCTTGAAATTATTGCTAGCAACATTCTCAGAGGAGTTACTTGAAAAATACTTTCCACCAGCTTGACCGTGCTTCAACTGAGATAAATTTTAAGTCAACTTTAGTGGATACCAGATGCAGGGAATTGGAAGAAAATTGTAAACATTCAATATAAGTAAAAGAAGTTGGTACTAATCCTATGCCGAAAGAAATCATACTCTGGGGATGTACAACACGGGTAAATTTAAATGCTTAAAAAGGAAAGTAGAACCAAAATGCACATGAGAGTGCATGGAAGATGTAGCTTAGAAAGAGCGCACATTCGACAAGAGCCTTAAAATATTTGCGACAGTTGAATTGCCTGTAATTATATACAGAACTAATATAAACCTAAGAAAAGAAAAAGTTTTCATGAAAAGGTTCATCCTGCTAAGCCAACTGAATAACAAACTTGCATTTTGCAAATACTGAAAGTAAGAGGTGGCTGCTAACATTTAGCACTTTGTTCTAAATGATTGTAGGTGGCGACTCCTATGATGTAATACTTTGTCCAGTATGACACAAAGTTCTTATCTTTCGGCTGATTTATTGTTCTGATACCATTAAAACTAAAAGGTATTAAAGAAGGCATATAAAAGTTCAGTGTTCTTTTGAATCTATAATATTGTGGTGGATAGATTGCTAGTTCATATTCAATATCAGATCAAATTCAGCTGGTGAAAATAAGTGTACCAGGCATATGCATATCATTGATGATAACGTCATAGTCACAAACATTGAATAACTATCATACGTGAACAAGATGACAAAGAAATATCGATAAAAAAATGTGGCTACAATTGATAAATTAGTCCACCAATACGGATAGGGTTCACATACACGACAGGACATGAATATGGAACATAACCGCTAATGAATATAAGGAGAGGTATTGGACACTACATTATTATATTATATCTTAAATTTAAAGAATATATTATAATTACAAAATTTTAAGTAAATATGAAATAACTTTATATAATAGTAAATTTATTTTGATGACTAATAAAAACAGAAATATACTTAAATTTACCAAATATCTTAAACTTAATTGAAGAAGAAATAATCACATGATAATATAAATTGATGACTTGAGTGAGAAAATTGTTTTTTTTTTGTTAAAAAAATAATAAAATTTATAAATAAATAGAGCAGAATAATAAAAATAAAACTAGTACTAAGTAAATATTAAATTATTTAAGTAATATATTTTAAAATAAAAAAATAATAGATAGCTTAACTTAAGTTATTTATGTAATATAGTTTTAAAATTAAAAATTATTTTCATAACACATCTGTCAAACATATACATCCTTTTCTTACTTTTTTAATCAGGCACATAGATGGCATGCCAGGTAAGAGCATGTGTTTGATATGATGCACTTTATTATTATGAAGTATCGATGCATCGTTATGATGCAATTGATATGAATATATTTGATATGAATGAATGCGATGCTCTGGAGTCAAATAAACCCCTAGTCCATTATCTAAAAATAGAAATTATAAATATCACCACATCCGTAGCTTTGTGAGTCTCTTGCTTCGTATATTGGAATATAAGAAGTGAAATTGTTTGTTTGGATTGCTCCTAAACCTAAGATTGCAACTACTGATACTGCACCATTTGTAGTTGTGCATATGGTATTGAATGTTGCTACGGGTACTGCAAGGTAGGCTGGCGCTGCTAATATGACTAAGGTGACAAAAATTATTAAGTTTGCTGATGAGGATGAAGATAATATTACCTTGTTTGTCCTTTGTTATCATATTTCTGATGTCAGCCACCATTAGATTTCTACCACTTATTTTTATGTTGATGTTCGGAATTATTTTTCCGAGCAGTTATCAAAGCGAACTATTCTTGAATCTTGAAGGCAATTCTTAATTTTATGAATGGTACCATAACAATTGAAGCATTTGCCAATAATCAAAATGCATTGTCCAGAATGCCATTCAACGCATTGAAGGTAATGAGATTTAGGTTTTGTTTGGTGCAGCTTTCTTACTACTTCCTAAAGCAGTTGTTTAGTAAAATAACTTATAGCTAAAAAAAATTTGTACTAAAAAGCTACTTTAAAAAACAGTAAGAAAGTTATCACAAACGAAGCCTTATTCTTCAATTTTTATGCCTAATTATTTTTAAATGCATTTTTCTAAAAACCTCCATTTTCTTGCCCGTCCGTATTATACACTTCCCAACATTTTTCACTTCATAAGCATCAATTTCCATCACATGTATCTAGATCAACAAGGTATCTATAATTAGTACATTTTATAGCAAATAAATACTTTTAAAATCCTTTCTGAAGCCAAAAAAAAAGTATAATCATTTGATCTTATGTTGACCAATACTAGGGATGTAAGTGAGCCGAGTCGGCTCGAGCTCAACTAGTTTATGGGCTTGCGAGCTGAGCTTATCAAGCTCACGAGTCGAGCTCGAGCACGAGATTGAGCCGGCTCGGCTCATGAGCTCGCGAGCCAGCTTGAATAAATATTAATATTTTAAAATAATTTTATTTTATTTATTAAATTTAAATATAAAAAAATTAATAAAAACCACATAAGTTTTATTTAAATATTAAACATTTCATATTTTTTTTCTAAAATTTGACTAAGTTTTCAAAATCTCGCTTAAGTTTTAAAAATCCCGCCTAATTTTTAAAAGTCTCGCCTAAATTTAAAAATTCTCGCCCATGGCGCGAGCTGACTCGAGCTCGTTTACAGTGAGATGAGCTCGAGTTCGAGCTTGCTTTCCAACTAAAGCCAAGCTCGATAAGGGCCTAAACTCGACCCGACTCAACTCGTTTACACCTCTAACCAATATAACAACAACAACAACAAGCCTTTATCCAACTATGTTGACCACTAGAATGAATAAATTTGATAATTCGACTGAATTGGGTTTCATACTCTTGAATAGCATGTGATCCTTGCTCCAACTTCTTTAAGCAACACATCAACTTAGCAACGTATGCTATTAGAAAATACTACTCTAATAAGAAACCTCTCAAATTATGCCCAAAATCTACTGCATCAAGTTTAAAATTGTTGCTCGATGAATCTTCTACCAATCATTAGTGCCTTCTTAAAGTTGAAATGTTATCATGTCCACTTTATGCTCTTAAAGGTGCTTAATACCTCAGTCAATTCTCAATGTCATGAAGTTATGCATAAAATTCAATTGGTTCAATCATCTTGTTGAATTTAGGGAGCTATGTTTTTAAGAATTAATCTAACATTTAGGCTAACACTACTTCGCTTGGCTGAAACTAAATGATTTCAATGCAATTAAAATGTTCTCTAAGCTGCATCAATTCAGCATGTTTCATCTATGTTGCAAAAATTTGATCCACTACTGTTGGTTTAATAGTTAGGTGACATGATAGAATTTTCTCCAAGAAATACTATCTCAAGCTAAAATTAATTTATTTCAAGTACTAGTTGTTGCTCTTAAGTTATCATCAAAGCTATGTAAGTCGAAAATTTCTTGCTCAAAGCATGTATAATCACATTAGGTTTACATATATAGTACTAAATCTGTAAATCATAATCATTCAACTATTATAGCCATCACTAATGTATGGTGGTTAATGTCTAAGTGAAAATATACTTCAATGTCTTATGATAAGTGAAAAACTCATAGTGAACACCATTGAGATAATGTTTTCTGATATTCAATGTCATAAGAAGATAATTCTTTGCATGCGCTCAGTGGCATAAGATAGCACTATATTGTCTTGCAGTATGATATAACCCAAATCTTAATGTGAGACATCATTATAAATCTAAAACCCATCCGTTCTTGAAAGAATGGTGAAAACAGGAACTAAAACTGAATAGAGGAGGAGGAGGATTCATCCTCTGAAATCTAGAAATAAATAGAAAATTAACAAGAAAACAAGGACAACCACCACCCAAATATTTTCTCCAAAATGTAGAAACCAGCCTTGAGCTAAAAAACACCTTATCTTAATTCTATTTACCAAATCAAAATTGAGGCATGGGGTCCCTATTTATACAAATTACTTGAAAGGATAGAAGGAATATGATAAAAAAAAGGGAACAAATAATCATAGAAGCTGAAACCGTAGAAGGCTAAATCGAACCATGCCGCAGGCAGAACTGTAATAGGTTCAGGCCTTGGCTAAACTGGACGCCGCAACAGGTATTGAGTTGAGAGACTGGTTCGGTCCAATCTTCGCCCTGGTGTCATTCTCTTGGGCTAGGGGAGGCTTTAGCATCAATACAACAACAACAACATCATCAAGCCTTTGTCCCACTACGTGGGGTCGGCTACATGAATCCTTTTTCGCTATTGTGTCCGGTTAAAAGTCAAATTCTCACTTAAATCTAATAAAGAAAGATCATTTCTAATATTTTCTAACCAAGTCTTTTTAGGTCTACCTCTACCTTTCTTAACATAAGTCAAATCTAATACCTCAACTTTCCTAGCCGGGTCATCGGAAGGCCTCCGTTTAACGTGACCAAATCATCAAAGGCGACTCTCTCTAATCTTATTATCCTCTGGATCTACTCCAACCTTTTCACATATATGCTCATTTCGTATCTTATCTCTAAGGGTCTATGCTCATTCCATATCCTATCTCTAAAGGTCAAGCTACTCATCCACCTAAGCATCCTCAACTCTGCCACACTGAACTTAGTATTATGCTTCTTTTTTAATGGCCAACATTCGGCACCATAAAACATTGCAGGCTTTAGCATCAATATAAGTCAATGAATCCTCATAATAGGGAGATAAATCTAAAATGTTGAAAGCAGCAAACATATGAATATCATCCATAATTCTAGTTGATACACATTATCATTGATACATTTAATAATGTGAAAATGTCAACCTGCCTTGAGTTTTAGCTTGCCATGAGTGTTTGGAGGAAACCTTTCCTTGCATAACCTTATCCAAACTAGATTCCCTAATTTGAAAGTGAGTTGTCTCTTAGATTTGTTGGCCTGTTTTGATTATTCAGCTTTTTGTTTCTAAATTTGATCATGCACTTGTTGATGGAGCTTGTGAATGTCTTGAATTTGGGTTTTAGCATCAGGACTATATGCAATCATTCCAATCAGAGGAACCAACTCTAGTGGATCTATATGATTTCATACATAAACTACCTCAAAGAGGCTTCCGCTGGTGGACTAGTTTCGAAATTTGTTGTAAACAAACTCGACTTGGGCTAAAATTTAATCTGATTTTTGTTTGACCATCAGTTTGTAGAAAAACGGCGGAGCTCAATTGGAGCTTAATGCCAAGCTTGATTATTTTTGGAATACCATGAAGTTGAACTATCCCAGAGAAGTAAATATTGGCAATATAAGATCAAAGTCTTCTTATAAAATACAAATTTGACCATCTTCGAAAATTGGTCAACTACAACCATGACAAAATCTTTTTACCTTTTGTGTGGGTAGTAGATCCACTGCGAAGCCGAAACTAACACAACCCTAGGTGAATCTAAGACTAGTAAAGGCAAATTTAACGTGGTGCTCTGTTGTCTATTCTTTACTATTTGGCAAGTTCAACATCTTTTAGTGAATCTCTCCATATCTCTATTAAGTAGTGGTCAGTAAAAATTTCTTGAATAATTATTAAGGTTTTATCATGACCGAAGTGTCCTGCAAACCCTCCATCATGGCTTTCATATAAGATAACCACGTGAAAAGAGCAATGAGGAATGTATAGTCGGTTGCCTCATAAGGGGTAGCCATGCTTAATGTGAAAAAGTTTTTATGTTTAATGTTGTCACAATTTCCATATCCTATGGAAATCCAGATCCTGGGCATACAATCTTGAATTGCTTTGAACCCCATAGTTTTTATTTGAAGGGAATTGAGTAGGTTGAGGCAGCGGCTTAGGGCATCCGCCACTCGATTGTATCTACCCAACTTATATCGTAGGGTATAATGGAAGAAAGAAAAATATTCCATCCATTTGGCATGTTTTCCCTTTAGTTTACTTTGATTATGAAGATGTTTAAAGGCTTCATGATCCGAAAATAGGGTGAATTCTTGTGCTAGAAAATAAAGACTACAATGTTGTAAAGCTTGGAAGAGAGCATAAAACTCTTTAGTAGAATACCTTTGACAAGACTCGTTTAATTTCTAATTGAAATATGCAATTGAGTGACCTCCCTTGCCTAGCACTGCCCAATGCCCATATTAGAGGCGTCACCATCAACTTCAAAAACTGAGGTAAAATCTGAAAGGTCGAGACAAGGTCGAGACGTACAGTCCCTATTTACCATGGTTGAGGCTAAAATACACCTTGTCTTCTATTCACCACCCCAAAATTGAGGCCTATAGTCACTATTTATTCAAACTTCTTGAAAGCACAAAAAAATAGAACAAGAAAAATAAAAGACACTAATAATCAGGATAGTTGGACCCGCATAAGGCTTAACCGAACAATGCAATAGGCAAAACAACAACAAGTTCAACCTTGGCTAAATCAGATGTTGCAGCAAAAGCTGAGCTGAGAGACTAGTTCGATCCAATCTTAGCCCTGACGTTAGGAATTAACTTTAATTATTAAACTTCAGCAAATCTTTGCTCACAGGCAACATACCATACATACTTTAACAAATCTTCTCTAATAGCAAGCTAAGCCAAAAAAATCTATAGAACTCTATGAAACTACTTGGCCTCAGTCAATCCATCACTATTTTGACCTTGGCTCAATAGAAATTCCAACATGGATTTGGGGGGGGGGGGGGGGGGGGGGGGGGGGGGATGTGCGCCCCCTAAAAAAAAATCGCCTATGAAGTCCACCATCTCTCTCTCTCTCTCTCTATTATTGTTGTATACTTTTTCTTCAACATCAACAGTTCAATTATTATTCATGTGACTTTTTTCACTTCTAATATGAGGCTTTTTTCTCTTATAATTTATTTTTTTATCATATATTTTAAAGCTAATATTTTTTATTATTTTTTAATTTCTTTACATATGTAATTTCATGCAATTTAAATATAATAAAAATTCACATGTTAATTTTTTTAATTCGATAAAAATATCATATAATTTTATGTTAAATATCAGACGCCGCCGATTGGGTTTGAAACTCCAACATCTTTTTCATCATATCCCGTAGATCGGCCACTTGTCCTTCCATGGAGGACATTCTTTCTTCTACGGTTTCCTTGATTTGATTTATCTCTCCTTCAATCCTCTCCTCCAAAGCATCCACCTTCTTAGCCGCCATCTCCTACGGCTTGCAATTTAGGAGAAGATCTCAAGATTTGGAAACAAATTTCAGCGATTTTCTCCCTTTCCGGTACAATTTCAGCCGCTGAAATTAATCAAAAAACAGCCCACGATTTGTCCCAAGACTTGCTCTGATACCAATTTGATACTAATCACTTTGGCAACAAATCTCAAGAACAACCGCTGTCCACAGCAGGAAAACAGCCCAAAACTGAGGGAAAACAGAGAAAAACTGCAGCAAGCACGGATAAAATACTTGTATTTTACTAATAGATGCAAGGAAAATAGCAAAGATACAAGGATCCTCTATTCGAGAGGAGGATCGCACTCTCCCAATCTCTAGAATACGATCTAGATCCCAAATCAACAAGAAGAACAAGAGAAATTTCAAAACAAAATCACATAACCCTAAACCACCCCATTACTCCCTACTTAATGCATACAATTCAAAATAGATACAAAAGGACCTAATTGCCCTCACTTCCCCTCATTTTGGCTCCAAGAAACAACTTGAATTTCAAGTGGACCCCACCTCTAGCCTTCCTGCGGCTTCCGCCTCATATTCCGCCCGCCTCTTTCTTCGGTAAAAGCGAACCGGCCCGCTGGATTGGGCCGGCTGGACCGGTCCAGGGAGGACCGGTCTAACAGATTCTTAACAAAATGAACTCCGAACATTGAGATAAGTCTCATTACAATGATGATGATGATGACGACAAGTAGAAAATCTTATCGTATAGTTCTAATAATTAAAAAACAATGCTAAAAAACATAAATTTATTTAAAAAAAAAACAAAGGAGTTAAGAAGATCATAGTAAATGGAAAATGCAAATTTAATACATGTTCAAGCTTAAAGTATTTGATCATATTTAATGAAATGACTAAACATAAGTTTCAAAGACCAAAAATATAAATAGTAATAAGGGAATCTAAATAAATGAACTAAGGCCTAACAAAAAATTTTGTAATAAAGGTTTAAATCTAATGAGATGCATAAGTAAAAAATGATCTCAAATTGAAAATGAAGAGTTTAGTTCTTAATTTACTAGTAGTAACCCTTGCCAATTGACTCTTAAGCATTTGGGCTAATAGTCTCCATCTATGTATAGGGCATATCTCAGGCCCTAGTGTTCCATCCATGTGTCCATCAGAGAAAATGGGAGCAAGCATGTTCTTCCCAAACAACTCCTCTCAGTTATAAGTAACATTTCTCAATTAACATTATCTAATAATAAAGTTGTATTGCTACACATTTGAATCAACACCTGTCCTCAAATTTGCGGAGTATGGAAATGATTATGAAATTAAGAATTGGAATATGAAACAGAATTCATGCAGCAACAATCAATAAAAGGAAAATATATACCTTCTTGGGGTTGAAAGATTGGGTCTAGGATGACCTTTCTCATTTAAAATACTTAACTTTCAGTTTTACTTAACATCAGTCTAATGATAAAACATCAAAGCATGAATAAGAAGAATCACTTCAGTAAGGGTTTAAGAAGGCGTGATTAGAACTTTAATAGCTGATTTTGACTCCCCACTCTTTCCACCTCACTCCCCCAGAGGAGAAATTTCACTTGTCACTCGCAGGAAACAGCCAAGAGCGTAAAAATATTGCACATATGGATTTGAAAAGCAATAAAAAGGATGTTTTTTTTTTCTTCAGAAATGTGCATTTTTGGGGGGATTACTAGATAACAGTGAAGATACTATGAACTAAAAAATGATGTTTTCTCTAGTTATTACCTGAGGCCACTGCCGTTCGTTGGATTTATTATCCTGAAGTGGACTTGGCAAGATTGGTTTTTGTAATGTCTGGTTGGCTATCTGAGTTTCCAGACCTGTCGAACTACTTAAACTCTGCCCAACATGTGTGTTGTCATTTCCCAAGAATCCAGGATTGGAATTACCAGAGTTTATCAGTGGTAACCGAGAATTTGGAGGAAAGATAGGGTTTTGCGAGCATAGCAATCCATTTGGTGAAAATCCCATCATCTGGTTCATATTCTGACCCATAGGCGGCCTGCCTAAAAGTCCTGCTTGTTGTAAAGACATGAAGTTTGGGCTTTGGAGAGCACCAAGAAGATTAAGTTGCTGCCCATTGAATTGGGGCATAATGCCCTGTTGTAAAAGCGCGCCCATAAAATTATTTTGCAGCCCCTGCATCAGCTGATGCTGAGCAAGCAAAGTGCCCAAAACAGCGTTCTGGTTGTTAAAGCCTCTCATCGCTGGCATCAAAATCTGAGGATTATTGAAGCCGAATTGGTTGGGCAGGGCAGCGCTTGAGGATATCTGGAACTGTGAACAATTCAAATGAATCATCCAAGTAAAACCCTACAGTTGGAGAGGCAGAAGGAAATTAAAAAACACAGAATGGAGTACCTGATTGGGAGATGGATCGTTTCCTCCTTGCACCTGATTTTGGTTTGGAAAGGGAGGAAGGAAGGGAAGCATCGTTCTTTTTTATTTTTCAATTCTGAAAAAGGAAAAACATTTTAGGTTAGCAAAGTGCAGGTGAAGTAAGCAAAGGAGGCAGAGCGGGAGGAAGCGATGCAGGATTTAGGCCGGATTTGAAGCGAACTAAATCCAGCCAAACGGCCAAAACTGCAAAACCAAATCTCAGGGAGCCGCGGTTGGCGGGAAATTCCCTCTTTTCATGGTAAATCCCGGATTTACAAAATGTTCGCCAGATTTACAGTATTTGGCCGAAGAAGCGCGCGAAAGGGAGAAAGTTACCTTCACAGCAAGCGAGCTTCCGTTGTTTCTTCCGATACAGCAGGCGTCGAAGGAGCAAAGAGGAACAGCAACGAAGAAGAACTCGTGCAAAACTCTCCACTCATGCGAAGGCCGAAGACCCAACGAAATAGAGAAGGAAAAAGCAAAACCTAGACTCCTATAACTTAATTAATATAATTTAAAATATTAATAAATAAGTGAAAGTAATTAAAAATATTTAAATAATTAATTTAGTCATAATAAAATTATTAGTTAAATAATTAGTTATTATATTAACTAAGTTATCCAACAATAACTTAAGAGGAGCTTAGGTTTTGCTTTTCCCCTCTCTATTTCGTTCGGCTTCATCCTTCACATGAGTGAACTGTTTTTCATGTGTTCTTCTTCGTGGTTGTTCAACTTGGCCCTTCAATGATGTTCCCTTCCAGTTGGATCGGAAGTTAACAACATTTTTTTATCGGAAGCAACAAGAGAGCTCACTTGCTATGAAGGTAACTTTCTCGCTTTTCGCGTGCTTCTTTGGCCAAATCTCATAAAATCGCATAACCAAAGGATTTAGTAAATACAGGATTTAACAAGAAAAGAGGTAATGACTTTGATTTAACATGATGTTTGGTTTTGCATTTTTTGTCGTTTGGCTGGATTTAGATCAAATCCGCTTCAAATCCGGCCTAAGTCCTATTTCAAAACAGTCCCTTAATCTCCTTGCTCCCTCTCTGCCTCCTTTGCTTCCTTCACATCATGTACTTTGCTAACTTAAAATGGTTTTCCTTTTTCACAATTGAAAAATCAAAAAGAATGATGCTTCCCTTCTTTCCTCCCTTTCCAAACCAAAATCAGGTGCAAGGAAGCAACAATCCATCTCCCAATCACGTATCTCCAATCAGTGATGTCTATTTTCCTTCTATATCTCCATATGAGAAATTATTTTGTGTAGACACTGTACCAGAAGAACCGTCTGAATTTGTTTAGTGAATAGTAAAAGAGTTGTGTTATTCACATGGACAAATCAGACTGTCTGGTATCCACACATAATAAAAAATACAACAAAGTAGGGTTTTACTAGGATGACTCTTTTGAATTGTTCATTTTTCTTCCCGATATCCTCAAGCGCCACCCTACCCAACTAGTATGACTTCAATAATCCTCAAATTTTGATGCCAGGAATGGGAGGCTTTAACAACCATAACATGCTTTTTGGCACTTTGCTTGCTCAGCATTATTTGATACAGGGAGCTGCAAAATAATTTTATGGGCGCGTGTTCTTAGTAATTGCATGGGAAGCAGCTTAATTTTCTTGGCGCTCTCCAAAGCCCAAACTTCATGTCTTTACAATAAACAAGACTTTAAGGTCGATCACCTATGGGTCAGAATATGAACCAGATGATGGGATTTTCACCAAATGGATTTCTATGTTCACAAAACCCTATCTTTTCTCCCAATTCTCGGTTACCACTGATAAGCTCTGGTTGTTCCAATCTTGGATTCTTGGGAAATGACAACACATAGGTTGGGCAGAGTTTAAGTAGTTCGACAGGTATGGAAACTAGCATCGACAAAAAAATTATTCTGAGCGGATGCTGAATGTTGTTCGGGGACTAACCTGATTGTGCCATGTCATCCCTTTGCTCGTTACCGCGGCTAGGTACTGGTAAGTATCGCTTGGTACTACGGCTCTGTACCACTGACGTAGTTGCATCTGATTCATCTCTAGACGTAGAGCTACGTCCGGGCGTCCGTGAAGAATAATCTCTCCATTGAGTATGGGTGGTCTCTAAACAATGGATTAACACGGTAGTGAACACATTGCCCTTGCTATAATAGCACGGCTATGGGTGGAAAGGAGAAAATCAATAACTAAAATGGGATGAGAGGGCAGAAATATATATAGCAGAGTAGTATGTTTCTATTCCTTTGAGTGAAGTAATATATTTATAATAATTAATAGAGCAAATATAATGAATATACATCAAAATATATGCTTTAAAAACTAGCATTAATAATATATGAATGAATAATTAACAAAATGTAATAAATCAAGTCAAACTATAAAATATATAAAATTAATATATACATATATATGATAAATAAAATGAAAATGCCATCTATTTAATAATTTTTAAATGTTAACTTGAATACAAAATGAATTTTACCTAACTCTTTTCATACCTCTCCAAATCAAGCATGCCTCAATCCAATGGTTCAAAATACCACGAAAGATTGCATTTAATATCAGCCGTTTGATCGAGGGCATCAATTGGTTGTTTTGACAATTTATCTTATGTTTTATGTTAGTGGAATGGTTGGTTCAAGTGGCCGGTTCATATTCACGCCTCCAACTCCCTAATATTCACGAGAAAAGGATATCTCTAAGGAGAAATTATCGTAATTGTGAATATAAGCTTGCTGAAATTATTGTAATTGTGAATATGGTTGGGCTCAAATTGGATCGATTTTAGTTTCAATGGAATCATCTTATTTAGTCATTCAATTTGATTATAAGTTTGTTGAAATTGGAGTTAGCATGGTCCCAGTTTTAATTTCGGAAGATCCCAACTTAAATATGTCACAAGATTCAAGCTTGATCAATGCGATTTTTTGGTGATGTAACATAATTGTGAATAAAAGCATTTCTTACAATCAAACAAGTACTAAAGAATTGCCATTTTCAGTGGAAAAGCATCCTTAGATCATCACTATAAAGATGAATATCCATTGGATTTTGATGTTCGGAGCTACATAGAGTAGGTGGATTGAGCTAATTTATTTGATGAAGAAATAGGGGTGTCAATTTTTGACATGACCCGAAACACGACCCGAACCCGACCTGGAAAAACCCGGTTTAGGATCAACCCGGACCCAAAACAGGTCGGGTTCGGGTTCAACAAATCAACCCGTTTTAAAAATCGGGTCGGCTTCGGGTTGACCCAGCAACCCGAAAATGACCCGAAATTGACACGAAAACTCCTATTTGACCGGGAAACCAGAGATTGATCCGTTTTGACCCGATTTTGACCCAAAAAATAGATGATTGACCCTATTTTGGACCCGAAAACTAGCAATTTTAGGTCAATTTCGGGTCATTCATGTCGGGTCGGGTTCTGGTCCGGAAACTTGACCCATTTTTAAAAACGGGTTGGGTTCGGACAGTTTCGAGTTCGACCCGAACCCGACCCTTTGATCCGAATTGACACCCCTATGAAGAAATGATTTTTCAAGCAAAATATAAGAGGTCAGTCCTCACTGTCTCTTTTACACATCAGTTCTTATCTATCATATTCCTTAAATTTTAAAGATTTAGATTTTATTGTGGATAACTTCTTTACTATTTTTTAAAATATTTTTTTAGTACAAAAATTTCTAGCTCAAAAAGTTTTTTACTAAAAAACTAATTCAAAAAATAACCAAAAAATTATCCCAAATAAATCCTTAGAATCTATGTGATATGGCTATAATATTTTATAATATTTTATAAAATTGATTATGAAGTTACTACGACAAATAACTAACTACTGAAGTTGCAAAGAATATTTTTCCACCGATAATAAAAAAAATTCATCACAAATTTTTTGAAAAGTAGTAAGAAATCAAGAATTAATAGTCAAATGAAATTATAATAATTATTTGAAAGCAAAACAACTAGAATGTTATTCCAAACAGGCCCTTAATGATAAAATTGCTAGCAAATCTAATTCAAGAAATACTCAAGCAAACTAAATTCAATTTTCCATTTATTGAATGACTACTGAATCTAATCAATCATCACACACTGAATCAGGTATCGGACAGTTTCGGGTTCGACCCGAACCCGACCCGTTGACCCGAATTGACACCCCTATGAAGAAATGATTTTTCAAGCAAAATATAAGAGGTTAGTCCTCACTGTCTCTTTTACACATCAGTTCTTATCTATCATATTCCTTAAATTTTAAAGATTTAGATTTCATTGTGGATAACTTCTTTACTATTTTTTAAAATATTTTTTTAGTACAAAAATTTCTAGCTCAAAAAGTTTTTTACTAAAAAACTAATTCAAAAAATAACAGAAAAATTATCCCAAACAAATCCTTAGAATCTATGTGATACGGCTATAATATTTTGTAATATTTTATAAAATTGATTATGAAGTTACTACGACAAATAACTAACTACTGAAGTTGCAAAGAATATTTTTCCACCGATAATAAAAAAAATTCATCACAAATTTTTTGAAAAGTAGTAAGAAATCAAGAATTAATAGTCAAATGAAATTATAATAATTATTTGAAAGCAAAACAACTAGAATGTTATTCCAAACAGGCCCTTAATGATAAAATTGCTAGCAAATCTAATTCAAGAAATACTCAAGCAAACTAAATTCAATTTTCCATTTATTGAATGACTACTGAATCTAATCAATCATCACACACTGAATCAGGTAATTGAAAAGCAAGGGCTAATCTATATAGGAATAATGCAAGCTCCATATCTTACCCATTATTTTTGTTTTTTTAACAAGCACTTTTTCTATTTCTTTCTCATGCTCAAGATTCTTAAACCAAACCAATCTCACATACTTCAAAACCAACATCTGCTTCGTTTTCAGCAATGCTGCCATGGATTTCACATTTACTAAATAAACCCGACAAAGCTATTGCAAAAGATAAGCTCTCAAAGTAAGCTTATATATAGGGGTGTCAATATTTGATATGACCCGAAAATCTGATCCGAACCAGACACGGAATTTTTGAGTTCGGGTCGACCCGAACCGAATCGGGTTGGGTTCACATTAGGAATTTTGACCAGTTTGTCAAATCGGGTCGGATTTGGGTTGATCTGGAAACCCAAAATCAACCTGTTTTGACATGTTAGGCCATCTTGTCGTGCCATGTCGCGGTCAGAGACCTGTCAGACCATCACATATTGTCAGGGCGTCATTGTGTCCGCCAGTTGCAATGTCGCATCGTCGTCGCGTCCATCATCCCAGCACTACCCTCGCACGCCCGCTACGCCCGTCACTTCCCTTCACCGGCCTGCCGTCAGGGCATCACCGTGTTGATTTTTTTTTTTCATTTTTTTTGTCAAACAAACTGTCGAAGAAATGTCGCTACCCTAATCAAACAAACTGTCGAAGAAACGTCGCTACCCTACGCCAGCTTGCTGTTCTTCTTCTAGTTCCTTCGCCGGCATGTCATGACTGTTCACCGGCCTACCCTCGCACGCCCGCTTCAGCCTGCCATTCGTGCTTCTTCTTCAAGTGGACCAATTCCCTCCATTTCGTGTTGGGTTCACCCAAAAGCAGGTCTGGTTCAGGTCCGAAAAATCGACCCGTTTGTAAAAAATTAGTCGGATTCAGGTTGACCCGAATAGTGCCGGATCAATTCCGGGTCGACCCGAACCCAACCCGTGACCCGAAATTGACACCCCTGCTTATATATTCTCTCAACAGAATCCTCAGAACTACTTATGCTTGGGCAACTCACTGCTTCCTCTCAGCTTTCACCAATGGTATGATGGTTTTGCAAGTATAACAAAAGAAACAAATATGAAAATGAAAGGGTGAATAAAAAAATAGATCTAGCAAAATATATGTAAACAAAATGCTTTTCTTTGATCACTTCACAGTAAGAAGCTTAATAACAGAAGCGTATGGAGGTTACAGATTCATCAAGCTTTCTCAGCCAACGGGTTCGAAAGCTATCTTACAGAGCAACCATCGAGTCCGGTCTCACCCTCCGACCAAAAACTATGGAGATTAATAGATCAAAACCTTGTCTCTGCTCTATTTTCCACAATATCTCCCTCGGTCTTACCTTACATCCTTCATCTTAAAAACTCTCACAACATCTGGAACATATTGGAACTTCGCCTGCAACCTTCCAATCGTTCTCGTGTTCTCCAGCTAAAGAACGAGCTACACAATGTTCAGATGCGTGATCAAACCATTCCTCAATATCTTGCACAAATCAAATCTCTGGTGGACAACATTTCTGCAGCCGGATCACACATAGAAACAGAGGATGTCATTCTATACACATTGAAGGGCTTACCATCCTCCTAAAACCCATTCAAAGCATCAATCCGAATCTCGCCTCACACGATTTCTCTGGAATCCCTATATTCGCTTCTATGCAGTGAGGAAGTTAACCTTCAGTCCGAACTACAGCAAGATACGACATCAACAGGTGATGTTCAAGCTCTATACTCGTCCAAAGGACGAGCGAAACCATCAACCCCTCGTAGTACCAGGGGCCGTGGACCTCCTCCCAGCTCCACCGCAACCATGTATAGAGCTCCGTATCCGAAAGACCAAACTCAGCAGCAAACGAACCGTTCCTCCCCGAGACCAATTTGCCAGATTTGTGGAAAATCTGGTCATTCTGCCTTATCGTGCTGGCATAGATACAACTCTAACTACAGCTCCCCATCGGTCTCCAATACCAGAGCTTACTTCACTTCATCCCAGAACACACCCAGCAACGATTGGATACTCGATTCTGGGGCCTCTGCCCACCTCACACCCGATGTTCTACACATCCCGCAACCAACATCTTACCAGGGCTCCGACTCCGTCTCTACAGCGAGTGGATCATCACTTCCCATTCACCACAGTGGCTCGAGTATCCTTCCTCTCCCAGAAACCAATCATAAGCTAAAACTCACTCGCCTTCTTCACGTTCCTTCAATATCACACAACTTATTATCTATATCCAAACTCGTCACTGACAATCAATGATCTGTATCCTTCGATCCTGGTGGATTCGTCATCAAGGACCTACGGGACAACACCATTCTTCACCGTGGCCATAGTCAAGACGGAATCTACCCTCTCAAAGCCCTCCACACTACAACATCTTCAGGTACACCAACTTCAGCTTCAATCTAGCATGCTCGCCTCGGTCATGCTCATCCTCGTGCAATGGCCGCATTATCTACTCTTCTCCCCGAATTAAAGACATGCTCATTTTCTTTTGTCTGCACTTCTTGTAATGTGGCCAAGAGCCACCTTCTTTCTTTTCCAAAACAAGCAAAAGATGTATCTACTCCGTTCAGTTTAATACACTCATATGTTTGGGGTCCTTCCCCTGTATCCTCTCTAACTGGTTATCGCTACTACTCTGTGTTCATCGATGATGCTACCCGCTACTGCTGGGTTTACTTAATGCACACTAAAAATGAAACTTATCTAAAATTTAAACAATTTCTTGCAATGGTCACAACTCAATTCAAAGCCACCATCCAAACCTTTCGCTCAGACGCCGGTGGTGAATACACAAGTCATGAATTCAAAAATCTCCTCCAAGCCCATGGCATTCAGCATCAGTTCAGTTGCCCGAACACTCCCCAGCAGAATGGTGTCTCCGAAAGGAAACATCATCACCTTCTCGAAACCACATGCACTCTACTACATGCCGCCAATCTACCATTTCGTTTCTGGGCAGAAGCCCTCCAAACCTCTAACTACCTAATAAACCGACTACCCACGTCTGCATTAAACTCTCAGATTCCATTCATCTTGCTCCACGGCCAACCCCCTCAATACAACCACCTCAAATCGTTTGGCTGCCTATGCTTCCCATGGCTACAACCTCAATCACCTCACAAACTCGCTCCTAGATCCACACCTTGTATCTTTCTAGGCTACTCTCCACATCACAAAGGATATAAATGCTACAACACTCAAACCCACAAACTCCATATTTCCCGCCATGTACGTTTCTATGAACATCTACAATCATACAACGAACCTCTCACAACTTCTTCTCTCACACACTCTAACACATACATACCTCCAATGCTCCTAACTCCTAGCTCTATTCATCCGACACCCAACTCCATCATTCCTCCATCAACCAACTCCATCTCAGCTACTACTAAACCTCTTCCCACCACTCAACCCATCAGTACATCTCCTCCTGATATCCAAACCTTACCTACCAACACTACAATTCCCACACATTCTATGGCTACCCGATCCAAAACAGGTCACTCTAGACCAAAGAAAGTATATGATCTACTTGCTGTTGCTGACTCTATGTCCCCTCCCACATCCTACAATGCGGCCTCCAAACATCCCTCCTGGCAAGCAGCCGTGTCAGAAGAAATTGAAGCTCTGCTCAAACAGAGGACCTGGTCCCTCACTCCGCCTCCGCCTCAGGCTCCAGTTCTTGGCTGCCGTTGGACCTACAAGATTAAAACCAATCCCAATAGGACCATCGACAGATACAAAGCGAGACTCGTCGCTCAAGGCTTCACACAGCAATACGGAGTAAATTACAAAGACACGTTCAGCCCCGTTGCCAAAATGCCCACAATCCGCCTTCTCCTCATTATCGCCATTCATTATCAATTGCCACAGCTACAATTCGATGTAGCCAATGTGTTTCTTCACGGCGACCTTCATGAGGAAGTGTATATGAAACAACCACAAGGCTTTGTAGACCGGGATCATCCAAATCACGTATGCCGCCTACACAAGGCTCTCTACGGCCTAAAACAGGCTCCCCGGCAGTGGTTTTGAAAGCTCACTGAGTTTCTTCTTCACTTCGGATTTCAATTCAGTGTCGGGCAGACCCCTTGCTACTTGTCTACAACAAAGCCACAACTCAGCTCTACCTACTCATCTATGTAGATGATCTTCTTCTCACGGGCAACGATTGATCCACCATCAATTCGCTCCTACAACAATTACAAGCCAATTTCGATCTAAAGCAGCTCGGTCAAGCCAGTTTGTTTCTCGACATTCAAATCTCATACACTGCTACTGGCGCATTCCTCCATCAATCGCATTATGCTCGCGATATACTCATCGCCTCCGGTCTCCAGGACAGCAAACCAGCTAGCACAGCTATCTCCCCCTCTGGCACCAGAAATGCCCCTCTTCTCACACCGTATGACAATCCAACCCAATTCAGGCAGCTAGCTGGCTCTCTACACTATCTCACCGTAACTAGACCTGATCTATCGTTTGCTGTCAATACAATCTGCCAAAGCATGCACAACCCGACCATCCACAACTATACGCGGCTTAAACGGCTTCTCCGCTATGTCAAAGGCACTCAACACCTCGGTCTACCCATCACCAGAGGTTCTCTCGAGCTCACTATATATTGTGACGCCGACTGGGCAACGCACGCTACTGACAGAAAATCCATCACCGGATTTTGCACCTTCCTCGGCAACAACATCCTTTCATGGAGTGTGAAGAAACAAACTACGGTAGCAAAATCCTCCACTGAAGCCGAATATAGGGCTCTTGCCTCTGCCCTCTCGGACATCAATTGGCTGCGCCGCCTCCTTCTAGATTTCCAGATACCTCTCGACAAACCGACTACCATTTTCTGCGACAACGCTTCCGCATTGTCCCTTGCTCACAACCCCGTGTTCCACGCACGGACCAAACACATAGAAATCGATCACCATTTCCTCAGTGATCACATACAGAAGGAGACAATCACAGCAATTCATCTCAACTCTGAAGATCAAATTGCTGACATTCTGACGAAGCCGCTCTCGACGACTCGCTTCATCACTCCAAGGAACAAACTAACCATCAGTGCCTTAGATCGTTAGTTTGAGGGGGATGTACAGATATAATTAGTAATGGTATTGGCCACATGGGCAACACCATATACTCTCTCTGCGCCACTTCTCTGACCCTTAACGGTCTCTGACACTGTAGCTTTATGAGCTCTGTTTCGGTTCTTATATACCGCAAGCTCTCTAATAGAAACCATGGGTTTTTCTCTAATTCTACTGTTCATCTTCTTCCTAACCATGCTCTTGCAGGAAACTCTTCAATTATGGCTTGGTCATTTTACCAAGTTATTGAGAATATAGAAGTATGCAGTACCGTAAAAAGGGTGGTCTCCCAATTTCAAATGTGGACAGGAATATTCAGCAGAAAACACAATCAACACATATGAAACTACTAAGAAATTAAATAATGACGTGATTACAGAAATGATATACTTTCTCTAATAAGCAGCTCAGTAACAAACAGCAAAGATGGACGCCACAAACTCGAAGTTTAGCAGTATCGACAGCAAAACATCTAAAGGCAAGCATTGAAGCAGAAAGCAATAAAGCCTTCGATAGATAGTTAAAAAAGGGACGATTCAACCACTGAAAATGCTTAAGTGTGCTTTAGAAACAGTAGCGATATCCTTACCTTCTTCAAAAGCTTCTCCGCATCCTCCTTAGACAAGGGGAGTTGAGAAGAAGGAACGGGTTCGCAACTCCGCTGAGCCAGGGATATAACGGAGAGATTGGGGATAAGGATCCGATGTTCCGTGCTCTCATTCCCCAGTACCTTTTCGCCGAAATTGCTTTCGAGTTCGGCCGGAAAGGGGTCTCTGGCGCCGAAGTCACCGAGAAGATCAGGGGCCATGGATCGGATGGGAGAATGGCGACTGCTCCATCTCGTTCGCTTAAAGAAGAAGACGACGGACGATAGAGACGGCGTGTAGAAGGAAGAGAAGGACGTGGCAACGAGTGTGTTTCTAGCACTGGAGCAGGTGCAGATAAGGGAAGGATGAAGAGAAAGGGAAGCGGATGCCATAGGAGTGATGGATTGGTTCAAGCTCAATGTTTGCTGATCTTATCCATGTATATGGGACAACACTTTCATTAAAATTTTTTTTTTTGGGGAAATTTTTGGGCAGAGCCCATTCCATTATAAAATGAGGTAGTTACATGTAAAAGAAAACAGCGAAGAAGAACCTATACCAATATAGACCAAAGGATCAAAACCAGGGAATAAAACAAAACTTTCCATAAATACTATAAAAAGAAACTGAGAAAGAGAAAGAAACAACCAACATAACCGAAGGCAGTGGGATCAAAGAGAGAACCCACGGGATCAGGAATTGCCGCTCTCTCTATCTGGTTGCAAAATGAACTGTCCAAAACATCTGCCCTCCAAAGGAGAAAGTGGCAATTCTGTCATCCTAGCCCATCAAACCGGAACCCAAAAAACTGCAGAAGCAAACTGCAGTAAAATCCAACAGAACACAGCAGGAGAAACAAGAAAGCTCTCGAAATATCGAGCAGTAAAGCATCTCAAAGTAGCTCCATAAGCTCTTCCCTCGATTTCCATCTCAGAATCTTGCCAAAACAGCAGCTTTTATTTTGTGTACTAAGGTGGTAGAGGAGGCCACATTAGTACCAAAATTTCTTTCATTTCTTTCTCTCCATAAATGATAAACCGCACAGCATATAATCAGAAAAAATAAATCCTTCTCCTTTTTAAAGTTTTCATCAATAAACTCAAATATTTGAAGGATGGATGGTCTTAATAGCAAATTTCCAATATTTTTAAATAAAGCCTTAAGCACAGCGAAAGAGTAGTCACACTCAAAGAAAAGGTGACTAACCGTCTCCACACCAGAGTGACATAAAGAGCAATTCTGCTTCACAGTCATACCCCTAGATATCAGAATATTAGTGGTTTTAAGCCACCAGAGAGGGCCATCCAGCAAAAGGAAGAAAATCTAATGACATAATGCTTATGCCACACGAATTGCCACCAATTAACCTTGATGAGGTTATTATACAGAAAATCCCTATAATCTCTTTGCTTACAATTCTTGCCAGTACCCCAAAAAAGAGTATTATGAGAATCCAACAGCACAGGAAATTCCAAGAAAACCTGGTGTACATCTACAGGTAACGAATCAGGTAAAATCCAACCAGATTCATTAAGAATAACCTTTATACTTTCATTCACAGGGAAAGAGGCAAGGATAGGCCGAACTTCCTCAATTTCTTCTAGACGTTTGTCCCTAAACCAATGATCCCAATAAAGAGCAAACTTAGAGCGCACAGAAACATTAAAATGAAAGTTTTCTTTGGCAATACAAGCATCTTTACAAATACTTTTTCAGAACTTAGAGGCCTTAGTTCCAGGCTCCTTCCAAGGGGAAATATAAACATTAAATAACCAGATGGGAAGAGGACTGGAAGAGTTGTAATTCCTGATAATAAGAGAGCAATTGAACCCAAATTGAAGAGAATGAAGGGAGGGTAAGCCTATGCCCCCCATTGTTTTGGGCTTACAAGTATTTTTCCAAGAGATTAAATGCATTTTCTTGCAATTAGAGTCCCTAAAATATAGGAATTTGGCACAAACCTTATCTATCTGTTTAAGAATAGTTTTCGGTATAATGCTCCCCCTAATCCAGTAAGCAATAGTATTCCATATCGTGTATCTTAAAAATTGCAATCTCCCTGCAAACGATAAAGCCTTAGCCTTCCAGCCTGAGAGCTTCTTAATAACACCTTCCAAAAGCTGAGAGAACCAAGCCAGTTTTGGGTTGTAGGGGGAGATGGGAACTCCCAGGAAGTTCATAAAGGAGGAAGGAGCATTGATATTAAGAGAAGAGAAAATACCCTCAGCATTAGCACAGTTAGGAGGTAGAATGATAGAGCTCTTATGATAATTCACCTTAAGACCCGAAGCATAAGAGAAACTGTGAAGTAGACGGTTAAGAGTCTCACAATTACTAGAATCAGCCTTCCCAAAGACAATCAGATAATCGGCATACAGTAGGTGGAAGAGTTTGTAATCTCCAATAGTGAGAGTTTCAAACCTGTTATCAGAGAGATTACAGTCTAGAAGACACGATAAAGCATCCATCACAATACTAAAAAGGTATGGACTCAGAGGACAGCCTTGACGAAGTCCAGAAGTAGAAGGGAAGAAACCATCAAGGGTCCCATCAATACACAAGGAGAACCACACATCCTCAATACAAGCTTCAATCCACCTAACGAAAGGAGCAGGGAAACCTTTTTGCAGCATCCTAGCCAAAAGGAATTCTCTAGAGACACTATCAAAAGCTTTTTTGATGTCAAGCTTCACACACATAAGCATAAACTTGGAGAATTTCCTATGAAATTGAAGAATTTCATTTACAAGTAAAACATTATCAGTGGAAATTCTATTACGAATGAAACAGCTTAATTTTCCTTTATAATGAAAGGCATAATGAATTTCATTCTACTAGCAAGAACTTTGGCAATAATTTTGTAGATAGCATTACAAAGAGCAATAGGAGGAAACTCAAAAATATCCTCAGCATGACTAGATTTAGGTATGAGAGTGATAGCAGCAGCTTTAGCCGAGCGCGGAATATAAGGATTATTGTAAAAGTACTTAACAGCAAAGCAAACCGTAGGACCACAAACCATCCAAGTGGACTTAAAGAATTCAAAGTTGTAACCATCAGGCCCTGGAGTAGAATTTGAAGCTCCCGAGAATACCGCATATTTTATCTCCTTGTCAGTGAAAGGAGCAATAAGATTTTCAATATACTCAGGGGGAATAGTATTACCAGTGGGGAACATGTTGATGTTGAAATCAAGATTCCGGGGAGAGTTGAAGAGCTTTTGGAAATGAGATATAGCTTCCTTAATAGCATCGGACCAAGAAGAATTAGAATTAGACATGGCCAGAGTAATAGCAGTTTTTTTGTAACTCCTCCTTATACGAATCCTAGCATAAAGGTATTTGAGATCATCCTCACCCTGAGCTAACCACTTAGCTTTAGCTCTCTGCTTAACCCAGGAAAACCACAAAGAGGTGGTAGCTTCAAGTTCCTGATTTATGCTTTTCAGATCTTTAGAGGTTTGTACTAAGTCATCTCCAGCTTGCAATCGAAAAAGACAAGCAGCTTGCTTGTCTTGAATCTTCTTTATATCTTCAGCCATAGTGTTTGAATTAGCCCAACTTTTCCCTTTCACTGCCCTTTTCAAAAGTTTAAGCTTGGTACAGAGGTCTACTAAAGGGTTACCTTTAGTTTTAACAGCAAAAACCTCAAACATAAGAAACCAGAATTGTTCATTCTTAAGCCAAAAATTCTTAAACAAAAACCTGTGATGAGTGGAAGGACTAATTCCAGCTTTAAGAATAACCGGACAGTGATCCGAGACATCAGAATTTTTTACCACATAATAGGAATCTGGAAAGGAAGTGAGCCAATGTTCATTAACCAACATCCTATCTAACTTGATATGAATAGGACTCTCAGTCCTTTGATTATACCAGGTGTAAGAGTGACCAGTGGATGCCAAATCATTCAAATTAGATTCAAAGATGAAGCTGTTAAAGTCATGAAGCTGATGTTGAAGAAGTACATTCCCACCTAACTTTTCCGAGGGAAATCTGCAGCAATTAAAATCTCCCATAACAATCCAGGGAATACCTGCTACCGGAGAAATGCTTTTTAACTCTTCCCAAAGAGTCCTTCTACCCTCCTGCATATTAGAGGCATAGATAACCGAGAGAAGAAAACGGGGGCTAGAACCAAAAGCTACCATACCAGCAATCATTTGGGAGGAGCAAAAGGAAGGATTAAAAGAGAGCCTATCCTGACTCCATTTTATCCAGATTCTGCCGGGGTTAGCACAATGAAAATTATTGCAACTTGATTCAACATCGTAAACCAAGTGGCTATTGTAAAAGCCTCCATCCGAGAGACTAGCAAGCTGTATCTTATTTTCCAAGATACAATTCATATCTAAATTAAGATATTTGACTAACATTTTGCAGTATGAAACCTTATTAGAGGCAGAAAATCCTCTAATATTCCAAGCAGCTATGGTTGGACATATCATTTATGTCTAGAAGTGGAAGCAGGAGGCTTTTTTGAACCCTGCCCTCTAGTACTCTTGGGTTGAGGAGATATCTTTTTCTTCTCTTTGGAATTTGTAGGTGGGTCTGAAAAAGATGAGCTTTCGATTTTAGTACCAGAGAAAGCAGAATCCTTTGCTCCCTGTAGAGTCAAAAATTTATTGCTAGTCTGTATGTTGGGTGGAATATAGGAAGGGATAACCGGAATATCTGTCTCTCCCAGTCCTTCCTCCGTAGGAGAGTTGAGATTGGGAATATTTAAATTTCTAGATTCAGAGGCTATAGTGGGTTCTGGTGCTATATTATGTATCTTACTGGAAAGGGTATTTTCATCCTGCTTAGGAGAGGATGTTTGATCGGCAATTGCAACAACAGGACCAGCAGTAGGCGGAACTATAGGGGGAACAGTGTTAGGGAAATCAACTTGAGAGGGCACCATGGCAAGCACTGAAGTGGAAGCAGCTTGTATATTAGTGATGGGATTTAAAATTTTGCTAACAGGTTTAAAAGCTGGTGTGTTCCTCCTAGCCTGAGAGCCAGGACGGTTTTGAGATTTATTGCGGGGGTTACAAGAGGAACTACGCCCTCTGTTTTGGGTAGGAGGATTGGTTTCTTTATGTTGATTTGAAGGGCATTGGGCTGAGGAGTGAGCTAGGGAGGAACATGTGCTACATGGAGTAGGTTTCCACTCATATTGGATTCGAAGATTGATAACTTCCCCTTCAATAGAAACCCCCACAGAATCAGGAAAAGGAGAGGTAATGGAAACTTGTATACAAATCCTTGCATAAGTTAATCTGGTCTTAGCAGTTGTTAAAGTATCAACAGCAATCGGAATGCCTATTTTAGAGGCAATTTTGGATATCCCTTCTGAATTCCAACAGACTAAAGGCAGATCGTGCACCCTAACCCAGATAGGAACCGATGTGAAATTTTCTCTTGTCGGATGGAAATTTTTGGTCCACTTTTGAAAAAGAAATGGTTTTCCATGGAAAAACCAAGCTCCTTTTGACCACACCATATCATAATCTTCTAGT